AAATGAATGCGGGAGCCAGCGCGCTGCAAGCCAGGAAGGCTTCCTGGGGAGGAACCAGCTAACGGGAAAGACAGGCTTTGCCGGCAGCAGCAGGACAGATCAGGGTGATGCGGGGCCCGGATGCCTGTGCACTCCTGGGCTGGTGGCTCTCCCTGGAGTGGCTGCGCGGGTCCAGAGCACAGGCCTCTCCGTGGTGCCTTGGCGCTGCTTCCTGCTGTCCCCTAGCCACAGGCACTGCGTGCTCGGGGTGCCTGTCATCCTCAGCGTGGCACGACAGGGCCACACGTTCCTGGAGGCACCCTTCTGGCCTATGTGGTGCAGGGCAGAGGGACAGCCGGCCACATCCTCACTGCGCAGAGGTCACTCTAGCCTAACCCCATGGAGGCGGTGGGCAGGGCCCATCAGCTCAAGGGCTCCTGGGCCTCACGCATCCTCCTCCTCCACCTCTAGGGGTTCCTCACCTGCCCCTTCTTGCGAGGGAAAGACTCGGTGCAGGCAGGCCACTGGCCGTGGTGGTGCCAGGCACCGCGAGCCGCCCCGCTCCACGCCCGGCCCTCTCACCTGGCAGACGTCGCGGTCCACCTGCCTTTGGCTGAGCTGCTCCTGCTCCCTCTCCAGCTGCTTCTGGGCCGCACGCAGCCTCTCCAGGTCACACTGGTAGGCGCCCTTCTGCTGCTGCAGCGCGTCCAGGTCCCGGTCCAGGTCCTGCAGCCCGCGCCGCACCTCCTCCTCGCGCTGTGCCAGCCGCGCCTCGCGCTCCTGCAGCGTCCTCTCGCGGGCCTCCCACTCGCGCTCCCGCCGGCGCTTCTCCTCCAGGTACTGAGCCTGCTGCCTCTGCAGGTTGGCCAGGTCCTGGCGCTGCTTCTCTAGGCTGCGCTGCTTCTCCTGCTCGATGAGGGAGCTGGGGCGGGACGCACTCCGCGTGAGCGCGCGCTCACTCAGCACCAGCTTCTGGTCCTCAATGTAGCTGTCCTGCCGCAGCACAACGCCCTGCGGGAGACAGCNCCGGCTGCGAAGCGCAGGCTTTCCGGGGGCCGCCCGGCCACCCTAGGTCTGACCACAGCTCTCCCTTGCTTTTAGCAAACCAGGATAACCCTGCAGTCACTGTACAAGAAGGTCTACGGTGTGGAAACTCACAGTTTTTGTTAAACTTGGTCACATGCTGTTGACTTTGCCAGGGGTGGGGACTGTGTGCGCTTTGGAGGGGGGAGGAAGTAGGAGTTGGATTGGTTAAATTTTTAAGAAAGGAAGTGAGCAGGATAATTCCCAGAAAGTACTAAACAGCAACTATTTGGGGAGGGGCCCCATCCAAATATCACAGAGATAAGGAATATGGAGACCTCAAAGCATATCAAAGCTTTTCTAGTTTGACATGAGCTAAATGCTTATTAGCATCCTACACGCTTTGTGGCACAGCTGTCACCAGTACCTACATTCTACCATTTGTGCATCAGTTCCAGTCTTAGGAGGTTGATGATACTCTATCCACTGCATGTGTGACCTTTCTCATCCTGACAACCAGTCTTCTCCAGAACAAGGGCCCCTCAACCAGCAAGCAGCCTATACACCTCAAGGACCCAGGCCAATAATGCCCTCTTTTTTACTGTTTCTCTCAAAACAAACAAGTGAAGGGATGACAGAGAAAGGCATGTGTGTACCTGCAAAGTGCTGAGGAGTTCATGGAGATGAACGATGCTCTGGACGACCTGCTGCAGAAGGAACACAATGGGAACATCAGCTCAGGGCCAGGGCAGGACCCGTCCCACTGTGCGCCCTCAGATAAGACCACCTCCCCAGCACACAGCAAGCTGCCTGCGTGTGAACAGTTTCAAACTGAAAGCGCCGAAGGGCGTAAGCAGGTACGGGCAGCCACGAAAAACGGACAAGACCAAGCAAAGTAACTGTGCTGTGTGGGAGGGACACCAGCATCCGTTAAAATGTATTACAAATGACTGGCACAAAATGGCATACACACCAATGTCACAGAACAAAGTCCAGAAGCAGCGTACACAAATTCAGTATATGATACATAAGTAGCATATCTAAGTCAATAGGGAAGAACAGAATGGTCAATGAATTATTTTAAGAAAATTGGGGCATCTTTGGAAAAAATTAAGTTTGGATCCTGGCTCACATAAAAATTCAAACAGAATAAAATGCTGTGTAAAAAAGGAACTGTAAAGAGCCATAAAAAATATGAGAATGTCTTCTGATCTTGAAACAGGGAAAGCTTTCCAAAGACTTGACACAATGGAAGAAACCACACACACAAACCTTCAACTTTCAGTATATAAAATGTAAAATTAAAAGGCAAAGGACAAACTGAACAGAAAATCCAATGAAAAATCTATAGCCTACTAGCAAAACCGGCAAGGAATGTAAACCAGCAATTTTCAAAAGAAGAAATGCAATTGGCTAAATATACACAAATATTAAATATGATTCAACCTTAATTCAAAAATCAAAGACATGTAAAATAAATACCACTTGAACTTATCAAACCAATGAAATGTCAATTAAAAACTGATACTCCCCAATGATGGCGAAAGTGGGCTGAGAAGGACCACTCTAGTACTGGCAGGGAGGGAGGCGCACCATGGCCTTTCAAGAAAGCAGTCTGGCATGTCGAGGAAATGATCAATGTATGTACAAGGATGTTCTTGGTGTATCATTTAAGACACAAAACGGTGAAAGAATTAGCCATGGAAAGATTAAATAAACTATGGAGACATGATAACACGCAGCTATGAAGGAGTGTGCTGGCCTCAATACTCTCTGGGGAAATGCCTCCAGTGTGTAGAAGAACAAACCAGGATATGAAGCCCCAGGGAGTATGGACACACTTATGTTACACAAACTTAGACACATAAATATATGCCAAGCAGAAGAAAAGGCTGGAAACAGAAATGTTAAATGCCAAACATTTAATAGTAGTTATTTCTCAGCAGTGGGATTATGTATAATTATTTTTTAACTGTTTTACATTGGATATTTTTCTAACTTTCTACCATGAACATGTATTCCTTTCATAATGCTTAGAAAAAAACATAAAAAGATTAATTTATCAGGCTCAGTTCTTCTGAGAATACTTTTTACTCTCATCTAAGTTTATTCAAATAGAGGTCACAGAAGACGAGCCGACCCCCGCTAAGCAGTGGTCCTGCGTAACCCGCACTGGGACGCCTGGGAAACACTGGCCTTGAGCTACTGCCTATCTGATTCTTCTCATCAAATACTGGGGAAGAAGTCGCCAAATGGAAAAATCAGCTGAGCTAAATTTCAAGCAGAAGACAGAAAGCAGATCTGCAGGGAGACAGCAGGTTTATTTAAGGATAAGCACATCGAAGGGGATTCTGTTAGGATACCACAGTATTTGGAGTTCAATGACAATAAATAGAGAACAATATCCTTCTGTGTTTCGGGGGGGAAAAGAAAAGATTCCCTTACTTTAAAATTTCAAAACAAAGCTCCTCAGGGATTTAAGATACTATGTTAAGAGCAAGAAACACAAAGAACAACATTAAAGGTACACCCTAAAAAGCCACTGTCGTGTCTCTAACACTCCAGTCTGCATACAGAGTCATGTGCTCAGTAAAACGAGTCTGGAGATGGCGCAGCCTTAAAGAGGATTTCCTTATTCAAGGAAATTGAAGTAGCCCTTCTCAGGGCTACTCTGAGAGCGACACACACTGACTGAAAGGCTGTGCTTGAAGGATAAAGTCGGCTTGCGTCCCTGCAGGATGAGAAATTACTACGCAGAGTTACCCACAGTCAATTTGCCACATTCCAGACTTGTGACTTCCAGTCAGGCTTGCTTCACGGGAAAGGGGGAAACAAATTCTACTCAGTGTGTTTGGACTAAAAGATGTCACCAAGGAGGCTATGCAGCCCATGTTTAGAGAAAGAAGGAGGGTTCTCAAGGTGAAGGAAGGAGAAGCCATTCTGGGTAGGCAACACTCCCACAAAATTCCAAGACAATGCCCTGGGGCTGGGAAGTAAGGTAAAGGCACTGGAGGGTCCTGGAAGTGTGCAGACCACAGCCAGGAGTCAGCAAAATGAGCAAGTATTCCTAACCTGGCAATCACAACATCACACTCTCTCAAACAGCTCCTAACGTCCTTACCTCACTGTTTCTTTTAAGCATAAATACCAGGTTAGCGTTTCCACCCTGTAAAACAAAAATATGTGCATTAAAAAAAAAAAAAGAAGATCCTGAGAAATTATATTCAAGGTGGGTCTGAGTTGTGCTGTCGCCCTCCAATTCTGTCCTTCCCTATCACAGCCTCTCCAAGGCAGGGCAATGAAGACGTGAGGTGGAACTGGTACTGAAGTCCTGTGAAGAGCTCGGGTTGGTTTGGGGCATTTAAACAAACTTCTCAATGAGACCGGCCCTGCCAGGGCCGCGGTAGAGCTGGGAATGGCAACATGGTATTCTAAGCCAGAGAAACCCCAGGCCAGCGGGACTCTGAATTATACTGTTTGTTTAAATATGTTTTCCTCTTAAAATAAAGTAGAAAACAAAAACAGCCATCAGGTATCCAAAACAAGATCAAGGTGGACTAATTTCAAAGATTATGAATTCGGAGGAGGGCCAAGGTCTTAGGTAGTGTATTTAGAAGG